AATATAGTTACTGTTGCTGAAGAGAAACGGAGAAAACTCTTCTTTTGCAGTAACTTCTAGAATCACTTTACTGTTTGCATTTAGTTTGGGTTCCAACCAGAACTATTCTATGATCTGTGGTAGCAATGATTCCTAACCTTACAGCATTGTGTTTTTATTTGTTCTTTTTATTAATATGTAACTTTCTTGTTTCAATGCTTAGATTCGTCGGTGGGCCATCCTAACAGCAAGAAATTTAGGGAAGGTTGACAGGGATGATTACTATGATTTACAGGAAGTGCTGACTTGCTTGTTCAAAGTTATTGAGTTGGGGCTTTTTGAGAGTCCAGATATTTACAGCTCTTCAATGATTGAAAAGGGTAAACTTATCCTTCTACCATCTCATTTATATGATACTACCAATTACAAGAACTATTGGCTAGGTGAGTATTTATGATCAGAAATGTACTTGTATGTGTAGTCTCTTTCATCTTGAAAGCACTTTTTTCAAGTAAGAGCTCTACTGTTTCATTGGACTAGATGATCTTTTGAGGTCCCTTCCAGTCCCTAACGTTCTGTGATTCTGTGATTCTGTGATAAGTGCTCTTTATTTTGGGGCACGTCAAATGGGAAAATTGAATGTTGCACAACTGCAGTAGTATTTTTAATTAGTTTCATGTTGCCGCTGATCTCTTTGGCCAAGTGTTACACTGGTAATGGCATTTGGAAAATGATTTGGTGAAAATTAGAAGAAGTTTTTGCAAATATATGATCCGATTGTTTTTTGTTTGTTTTTAATTTGTAGGGATTTGTATGTTGCTAACAGTGCTGGAAGAACAAGCTATGGACTCCTTGCTACTGGGCCCAGACAAACAAAATGATTTCATGCAGTCTATACTTCACACCATGGAGAAAGAAGCAACTGGTAACTAATATTGATACTGAGATTAAGGCAGTTCTTAGCCTGTTTCTCATCTTTATCAGTCTTCCTTGTGTAATTCAGTAAATTCTTAGTAGTGTAATGCTTAGGTGATTTTAACTGAGGCTTATTTTATCTTCTGGAAGATGGCCAATTTTGCACAATATTTAGGAAATGCTGAAAAATGACTTTCAAACAAACTAAACTGGTTGCGGTGTTGACAGGGTCGCAATCATGACGAGAAAAACTTATCTATGCAGTTGCAGATAAGCAGGCACTTCTTTTTTTGCAGTGCTGGGGAACACAGGGTAGCTCCTCGAAAATGTGCTCTGCCGCTCATACATTTTCACAGCCTATTTATACATTTTTAACAAAGCAAAATCATATGAGCATCCATAAGATGATCAGTGTTTGTTTGATTGATTGGTTACCCCTATAATTTATCAAAGTTTCAGTCCATTCCCCCAAACGTTTTGGTCCATTCTCATGGAAGTATTCCTATGAAAGTTCTGGTCCATTCTCATGGTGATCTGATCACAGCCATTGTCTGATTCTTCTCATGCATGGTACTTGCTTTCTCCAGTGTTTGTACAAACGTGTCTTGTAATTTTTCTTAGCTATGTTTCTCAAACAAACATATCCTTCAATGTTTCTTAGCAGGGTTTCTCAAAGCAAACATATCCTGCTATGTTTCTTAGCAGAGTTTCTCAAACAAACATATCCTGCTATGTTTCTTAGCTCTGTATTCTAAACAAATACCTATTCTAACTACATAATCATTAGTCCACCTTAATTACCTTGATTGGTTAAAATGCTTTTTCAGCTCTACCACTGAAACAAATTCCCACCTCAGTCAGCCATAATTTTCTTGTAACTGTAACAGCAGGATGGCAGTGCTTCACATAAGGCTGGCTTAGAGGTTTTGAGAGAACAAATCTGTAATTTCTATCATACTGTTTTCATTTAATGCACAGGTCATATGGGAATGTGTATTTCACTGTGGTAGGAAGTTTGAATTTTGAGTCCTAAAATAAACACCTTCTTGTAAATTGCTGCAACTTTCTTAAAAATCTCGACTCTGTCCATCTGTTCCCCTTTGCAGCTGGGAATTTAGACTAGGAGTCCTTGGAACATTCTTGTAGGCCACATAGGGCATAGCCTGGGAATGGCACATGAGCTCAAGACCAGGGCTGCCTCTTAAATTACTAGATCTTTATAAGCTTAGTATGTTTATTTGAGGATATGATATTATCTTACATGAAGAAGAAAGAACAGTTGAAGGAAAACCAATTGCTTCTAGCTTAAATTTGAGATATAAATTGTCACAGCTTTGCATGTTGTACCCACTTCTTAATATAGCACTGCAAAAATCAATGTGGGAGAATCAGTTTCATAGAGTTGGGAACTGTTAGCAATAGTTATCCAGGTTCCTGTCGATGTAAGACTGTGTAAGGAGCAGTGTCTGTACAGATAAACCTGGAAAATGGATTTAAAAGTCAACTTCATTTAAAAAGTATAGTTGCAACTTGCTAGAATATGTATCTTTATATTAGTACTTAAGAAAAATCAGTGAAAACCAGCTACTTTCAGCTTCATCTTAGTTTAAAAACGTCCAAGAGTCTTGCGTTTCAACTCTCCCCAATGTTACTGTTATTTTTCAGATGATTCTACTGACCCCTTCTGGCCAGCACTGCATTGTTTCATGGTTATTTTGGATCAGCTCGGATCTAAAGTATGGGGTCAGCTTATTGATCCTGTCCAAGCCTTTCAAACCATTATCAACAGTGTGAGCTACAACAATGAAATAAAAAATATACGCAGTAGCTTTAAGAGGTCAGTTTTATTAGGAGTCTAGTACAGTTTAATGATTTTAATGCCAGATAGTGGTAGTATCTTGATCTTGGTTTCCTCGTTAGTTCTGCCTTAATTTGTGTTGGGGGAGGGAGATGGCAAGTTAAAAAAAACAGATGTTGCCAACTTCAAGCAATGAAATTATGAAGTGGGTCCCCTAAAACGGTGAGGCTCTTTTAAAAAAGTATATGCTCACTTCTTTTCGAGTACTATGATGTCTGTTACACTTTTCAGGACTTTTTTTCCTGAGTCAGGAAGGCTGCTAACTGTTTAGTGCTTACTTAGTGCTATAAGCAACTTGCACTTACATTAAGTGAGGACGATTGCCGTATCTGAGACTCTCGGTAAAATTATGGGAATTAAAGAATTTTCAGTGGATAAAATAGTCTTAGATTTTATTGTAGTTCCAGACAACAACTGATTTTAGTTTACTTTCAGCTCCTGTTAAGTCTTAAATACTACTTAAGATTAGATTTTCTCAGTGGTACTGTATTGTCTTTAAAATTTTATTCCTTTTCTGAAGGTACTCCTTTCAGAGAAGGTAGTAAACTGAGAAACGTGGAACTGGCCTTTAATTGCTTGGGTAACATAGTGAGCTGCTGGAAGGAAATGCTTTAAAGCACATAGCAGACATCAGATACCCTTTTTGAAAGGTTTTGTTTTTGTATACTTATATCCTGAGATAAAATGGAGTTTTTGAATCACTTCTGAGTCACAATATTGTCAGTTTTGAACAGAAAGTTAATTAGGTAAAGTGCTTGTTCAGTGCAGAAGTGGTTGGTTAGTACACTGCAAGGACACTTAGAAACAGCTTCTATGGGAACAGAGTTTTGTTACCTAGACTTGAACTCCATCTTTCGGCATGCTATCCCTTTTAAGGATTTTTATGAGAATCCAGATCCCAAGACTTTAGGAACAATTTTGAACACATTTTTGAAAATGGAAGCTGTGTCTAATTTTAAAAAGTAGGTGGAAAATAGTACCTGGATAACCATACCAGTTGTTTAGTATTTTTCCGTGATAATTTTTAATCAACTTTGAGTAGCAATGTTCTAAATGTTCGTTATTTTTATACACACAATGTCTAGAATGTTATAGATAGCTGCAGATACCTATATATGGAATTTATAGATAGCCAAGAAGGGCGTGTTAAAGGAGATTTTCTTCAGTTAAGCAGTTTGTGAGGTGGTCAAATAGAGTTGCATACAAAGTTTATGAGTATGTAGCCATGATTGAGCTGTATTTATGCATAGAAAATTTAAAGAAAATTTAATTCTTCTGGGTGTTTGTTCTAAGTAGTCAAATCTATGACTTAAGAGAAAGCTCTTTTTCCTGAGGCAGTTGCTTTCCTCACCTCTTATGAGCAGAATAGAAGAAGCTCTACATTTTAAATATCTTTTCATAGGTGTGTCTTATCACTGAGTTCTAATAGGCACGTGGTCAGTATCTGAAAAGTGAAATCTATGTCTTGGCCAGTTGGCTTTCTTACAGTTTTAGTTAGTTGTGTGGAGTCTGTAATGATTTTCATTTCTTTTTAGGACAAAATCTGAACCGGAGTCAGACTACAACGATGACATGATTACTTGCAGTCAGATTGTGTATAATTATAACACAGAAAAGCCACAAAAGGTATTAAAAATATCTTATTTCTCTATTCTTCAAACTGATCACTGAATGACACTGTTGATTTAAACCATCTATAAAATAGAGGGGAGAAATACTCTGTTACTACTAGTAATGTAAAAAAAAATAGTGTATGTCACTATTGTGTGCCTTAAATAGCAGCCAGTCTGGTCACTTCTTGTTTACCTGGTACTTTCAGGCTGTAAGAGGAAAGAAGAATGTGTTTGTGAGTTAGGTAGAGATGGTATTAATGCCCAAGAGTTCATATCAAGATTGAAACAAGCGTTGGTACCTTGATGAAAACTCCGCATTCAATTTAAAAGAAAAGTTGCTGATGGAGTTTTTGTATTTTACTTTTTGTTTCTCAGTATTCTAAACTTATATATTGAGTATGGAGTAATGAGGTATGCATCGATGTACTTTCAAATCTTAGACTGTGCTCCAAAATGGCATCATTTTTTTTCTTGTTATAAAGCAGAAGAAACACTTGTGAGTGTGTTCTCTTGATGTTGGTGTGTTGTATTTATGAAATGACTTTTAAAGGTTTTAAATGTATATTTGATTATCTGAGGTTAAATTATGTCAGCACAGCAACATATTTGGAGGGTTTGACAATAATTTATAAAGGAAGCACTACTTTACACTTATAGGTTACATTTTAGGAAGTTAGTTTCTTATATGTGTGTTAGTTTGGTCTTTATTTTTTGCATTTTTTAAATTTAGATTTTGACTTAGGATATAAGATATTGATTAGGATATAAGAGATACTATCATTTAATCAACAGATATTTGAGAGAAAGTAACCTTTATGGCTAGGGGAAAAAAAGCCACCTGACAGATTGAACTGTGCAGACTTGCTTAATGAGGATGGTGAATTTGTTTTTCAGGATACCGGATGGAAGACTGCCATTTGTCCAGACTACTGCCCCAACATGTATGAAGATATGCAAACACTGGCTAATGTGCTTCAGTCTCATATTGGCAGAGATACACGTGTCCATGACAGCACGTTTCTGTGGTTCATCCCTTTTGTTCAGTCACTTATGGATCTCAAGGACTTGGGTGTCGCGTATATAGTGGAGGTCATTCACTACCTCTGCTCGGAAATCAAAGATATTCTTAGTGAAACAATTCAGCAGTGTGACAAAATCTCAGAATTTTTTCTTCTCATCTTGGTGTCTATTATTGAACTACACAGAAATAAGAAGTGTCTGCATTTGCTATGGATTAGTTCCCAAGAATGGGTGGAAGCAGTGGTGAGATGTGCTAAGCTTCCAGCTATAGCATTTACACAGTGCACTGAAAAAGCACCTGGACACTGTGCGAGAGGTTCAAACAAGCTTCTAACTCTGTGCAGCACTCCTGTGTGCAGTTGATACGCAGCCTTCTTAGAGAAGGCTATCAAATTGGACAGCATGCTCTTTGCAAGCAATACCTAGATAAAATCAATTTACTTCTGCGAGGAAATCTATCTTTAGGTTGGCAGCTGAACATTCAGGAAACCCAGGAATTACAAACATGTTTAAAGCAAGTTATAAGAAGTATAAAGTACAGAGCAGTGAATACCTCTGTGCCTGTAGGAAACAATACAAACTCTACAACTTTGCCTACCATTTCTATAAAGCAGGAGAAGAGTCCATGTGGAGGTGAATGCAAGATGAGTGTACATGGCAGAGATGACTTTAGTTCACCGTTTGCTCTCATGTCGAAGGGAGGTGGAGATGAAGATTGTGAAGAGAAACCTTTCTCTAGAAGGAAGAGTGCCTGGGAAGAGGAATGCGGAGATGCATCTAAAAGCTCAAGATTTTGGACATCCGCTGAGAACCTTGTGATGAATATTAAAAAGGAATTAGATGACTTGACAACTCCGGAATATGTCTGCCCACAGAACTCTCTGGCAACAAAAGTATGTGGAAAAGCTCAGGAAAATAGGATCAGTGATCCTGTGGCAGGGAAGTGTGATATGGGTAATCAGTGCTTTAATCCAAATGCCCGACATTCAGATTTCAGAAGAGGCGGAGAGTTGGAAAACAAATGTGAAGCAGGACCCATAGCACCAATGTGTCTGGGTGCTCAAACTCGTATTGGTTCTCCAGAACACGTTTACAGCTCGGATGTAAAGGAAAGCTGTATGTCTCCCAGTTCCCCTTCAAAGTGTAAAGTAGATCTGCATAAAGTTACCAATTTGAAAAACAAGTTACGGAAAATGGAATGGCCCGCAAAACTATTGCAGCCAGTCAAGCCACGTGGCTTGAAAAGCTGCAGCAAAACAGCGAGAGCTTCAAAAATAGCGGCAGAGCAACCAAAGCTCTGCACTGGCTATCTGTGTACAAGCAAAGATTGTCTTAAACATCAGAGAGTGAATACTGTGTGTGAAAATGAAAAATCTGTTGATACTCGATCTCCAAGGAGTTGTGAAAGTACACAGGAGAAAAGTGTCAACAGTGCTTTTCAGTCCAGACTGGACCTTGCTAAACGGGTATTGCCACTAGATTGCTCTAGCTTCTCTAAAAACGAACCTGGTGTGCAGGAAAATGACGATGGCAGTATTTTGCATTTAGGGTTTAGTGACAACTCACTGAAAAAAGTATCCTCTGAAGAAAAATCAAGGTCGTTGTTGGAGTCTGTTTTTGAGAAAGACAACGACATGCAAACTTCGGATGGGGAACAGCCTAATTTAAATGACTTGGTTAAATATGATTGTAAAGGTCAAATTTCAAAGACATTTTGTACGGATAAAACTTCAGCAAATGGTCATGTTCCATCTAGCTCAGAAAACAAGAAGGATATATCCAGTGCAGCTTCTCGGATCAGGCCACTGTCAGTGAAGTGTGAATCAAGTGACAGGCTGTACAAATTTTCAGAATATTTCAAGAGAGAAGAAGTTTCAGTGGTGAAGAAAGAGGAAGATTTTGCAAAGATGACTTCTGAAGACAGTACTTTAACAGACTCTCAGGTCGATAGAGAGCTCAGTAAGTTATCTTTAGCTGCATATGCTAAAAGCGTCAATTTTCCCTTTGATTCAAGCCAAGAAGGCTCAGTACATCATAATTTGTGCGATATTAAAAGGAAAGTGAAAGGTGCTGTAAGATCTTCCAGTGATGGCCAGAGTACCACGTCTCTCTGTGATTCAGATTGCCGTGCTGATAAAGTCATCATAATTTCAGACTCTTCTGATGAAGAACAAGGTGTGGCTGGCAAGGAGGAAACAAAAAGCAATGAAAATGTGTGTCCTGAAGGGCAGTCTTCAACTTCCAGCAGCATTTCTGATAGCGGTATCAAAATGGAATCAAAGACACCAAGTTCTCCTTTGTCACTGGAAGACTGTGAGTCTCAGTACTTTGAATTTGAAACAGAAGTTGATGTCTTTTCAGTCTGGCAAGATACTCAAGCGTACAGTATGGAAGCAACTCAAGAGTATAAACAAGATCATGTTTCAACAGCAGTTGGCAGTAGTAATTCAGATGACTTACTGGACGATCACACAAATGAATGGGGTTATGATGTGGATTGCATAAATTATGATACCATGGAAGAAGCGGCAAACTTGACAGAAAAGCAGACAGATAATATTTCTAATCAGAAAGAAGCTGATAATACAAAAGAAGTAACTAATTCAACATTGCAAGAATTTGTTAGTAAGGGAAATACAAAAGATCAACTGGAAAATTTTGCAGACAAAGGTACTGTTGCTGAAGACTCCACCCTGGTCTCAAAATTGACCCAACCTAGAGCATCTACATCTAACATCTCATTAGCTTCAAAGTTGGCCCTTAAGAAAAATAGTGTGAGTCCACAAAAGAGTACAGCAAAATCTAAGGTAGCAAGAACTATTCAAAGAAGTCCTAAAAAACCTCTTGTTGTTAAAACAGCACAAAATAAAAAAGTACTTCAAAGTACATCCAAAAATTCTCTGGCTGGCAGGTCATTGCCTGCTGTGGTTCCTCCGAGGAAAGTTCGTCCATGTCCTGCACCAGCATCAACTGTAGAAAAACTTGGTCTGAAGAAGGCGCCCCGCAAAGCAGCTGAATTATCCCAGCGCTCTTTAGATAGCGTAGCTCAACTGCGCAGCTATGGTAAAGCCGCGGGGAGAGTTGGAGTTGCACAGAAACAGAAGAGTAAACTAATTGCTCCTCAGAGTTTGTCAGTAAAACATAATAAAAAATTTCTAGCCTGCCAAGACCTTCAGTATTTAAGGCAGACAAGGCCCAAAAAGAGCGTCAGAGTGACAAATCTTGCAGGAAGTTCTGCAAATAGAAATAAAAAAGTTAGCGAAGTGGATGCAAAATCTAGGAAACAAAAGCTGGAAAGTTTTGAACTGGCAGCTGTTGAAGGATTTGTTGAAAACCAGAGAGGGAAAAAAAGGGAGGAGATGGTTTGTCTATCTATGGATTTAAGTTTCTCTTCCACTGCCCTTGTTGGAGGTGATAAAGGTGAACCTTCAGGAAAGGGTTGCATTGTCCAACCTGAATGTGAGAAGACAACTCCAAAAGAAAATGGGTGTAAACCAAATGAAAACAGTGAAGATGAGGATGGTGATGATCTGTTTTTAACTCAGTTAGACCCTGTGGATATGGAATTATGTTCTCAGGAAGAAAGCGTTCAAGATACTACAATAGCCAGTAAGAAAACAGAGGAAATGGATACTGCTGAAAGCCTTCAGCAGAATGAATCCTCAACTACTGTGAAGTGTAAGTACAAAGACTGCGTGGAAGAAGTGGAAAAACCAGGAGAGTACTGTAGTAAGCATTCAGCCACCAGCTCAGAAGCAGATCACTTGTTTGCCAAACCTCTCCCTCCACCTTCTAAAGCAAGAAGGCCTTCCACTACCAAAATTTTCAGCTCTGCAAGCTCTTCACGGAATGCAGCCTTCAGCAAGGATCTTGAAAATGTTAAAAAGCTGCTGCCAGCTTCAAAAAGCAAAGTGAATGCAGCGAAACCGGTGGTGGTCAGGCCACCAATTGCAGAGGCCATACCAATAGGAAATAAACCATGCAAGTTGCCAAGTTTCAATAATGCACCTCCACCCCGTATTACTAATAATGTTCTCCAGCCACAAAATAGGCAGAACAACAATGCTTCAAATATTTGCAGAAGGCCTGATCAAGGAACACGTAGTTCTTGCTTGCTTGGAGCTCAGCAGCGTGATCATAGTATTTTTATTAATGAAGTCATAAAGTGGACTTACGAAATGTTTGCAAACTTCATCCAATTTGGACCTCCATGTAATCTCCTGCAGTCCATAGTAGCCTCTGTTCCTGTCCAGTTTCAGGGATACAATGACTATTTTAATACATTTTTCCCTTTGATGATGCTAAATGCCTTTGAAACAGTAAGTAGCTATCTTCCTCTTAGTTTGTTTTCATCAACCCTAGTAAACTTACTACTGAGAGATTAAAAACCGGTTTATGTCCTCTGTTTATGTTCTCAAAAAGTTCAGATTGAGATCTGAATAGAGGAATGACTTGGGGTGGTAATTTAGGCTGTTATGTTTAAGATCGGGGACTGTCAGTGTTACTCACCCGAGTGAAGATTTTTTTGTTTTTTGGGTGCCTGTCCACTATGACTCACAAAAGGAGGGAAGAGATGATTCCTATAGCGTACAAACCTTAAAACAGAAATCTTTGTTTAAAAACCTGAGAGCTTTCAATGACAGTGTCTGTAAAAAGATAAGAATGTAATGTTTTAGTTTATGTTGAGAACTTCTGTGAGAGGGTAGGTTAATCTGAGAAGTATTTTTTTTCCAAACGACTTTATAGTTAAATAAAGTTTAAATTTGTAAATACAGTGAGACAGTACTCCTTCAATTAAAGTCTGTATGGTTTGAAGTCCAGTCATTGCATCACTTCTGCAGAAATAAGGTAGATAAAGAAGTCAATACCGGGGATAATACTGATATTTTAAGGTGAAAATGCAGTCAGAGGAACTCACATTTGTTCTGAATAGCTTTGTAAGAAAGTACGTTACATGGGGGGTGTGTGGGGAGAAAGTGCTCGTTTGTCCTCTGTGTGGGTTTTTATATGTGCATGCATATTTTAAAAGAAGATATGGGTAAGACTTTTCAATGTCTTCTACTTGACAGTCATAGTTTTATTTCTGATTAGTATGTTTGCCCTTTTGAGTCACGAGCAGCTATTTTTTGATGCACTAAACCCTTTGAAGTATTTTTATTTAACTTTTACTTTCCAACATGTAGCTGGCACAAGACTGGATAGAAAACCAGAGAGTAAGAGAGAAGAGTTACTACTTCTACTTACAGAGCTTCTCTGCCGAATTGAATACAGCAGTTTTTACAGGTAAGAGCTTCCTTTTTTTAATAAAACCCTCCCTCTTCTAATTTTCAAGTAGACAATGCTTTATAATAAGCTAGCACTTATGGGTAGATTTTTGGGTTTTTTTAATTTGCTTTAAATACAGAAAGTATCTTGAATTTTCTGTTTTACAGAACACATGTTACAGAAACATGTTTTGCAGGGAATTTGTGCCTTAAGCGTTCAGTACAAAAAGTTATTTGGTTGCTGTTGGAATACTTTCCATCTCACTCATTTGGGATTTTGTTTTGGCTTCTTTTGGTAAATAAAATAGTCCTTGACTTGCTCTGTTTTTATGCAGTACTATGTTCAGTCTTAAGAATGCAGGATGGAGTTAAAACTCTTCATAGTCTTTTGCTATAGGTTTTAATAGCTTTAAAAGTTAATAGCTGGGTATTACTGAAGTGTGTGCAGTATGTCAATTCTGTAGTCTTCCATAATATGTACTTCATCAGAAGTCAGAAAGTAATTGTAACAATTTTCATTTTAATGTTCTAATTTTAAAATGTATTTTGGGTAGCTCATTTTCAAGAAAGTGATCTGGCAAAGCAGCTTCATCCAAAGGAGGATGACTTAATCTTTCTGGTGGTCCAAAAGAAAAAAGACACCTTTAGGGAAGGAAGCGAGATGGAAAACCATATAGTGCAGCACGTTGGTCTAGTGACACGATTTTCTCATGCGTCTGGCCGTTCAACTAGTGAGTAAATGGGGTTGAAATAAAAGTGGGTTTCTTCTTGATACCACAGAATGCTTCTTTCTATCTGGCTGTTGATAGCTGTAATATACCACTTACCTCAGAGGAGATGGGATTATTTTTCCACTGTATCATGTCTATTCCATGCTAGAAACTTCATAAAAAGGCAGAAACTGTAGCTGAAGACCTGCTTTCCCTGCATTTTTCTAGGACTTCCTTCAATACAAATGTTAATACTTAGTGTAAGAACAGAAATTAATTATAAGTAAGTGGTCTGCATATGTTTTTAGGAGTGCATTGATGTGAGAGATGAAGTGCCATGAACTTCAGTGGCCCAACCGACTAAAATTTTCACTGTCTCCTGGAACTGAAGTTGTGAATTACCAGGATTACCAAGTATCAAGATTAATGCTGCCTAATTAAAACAATGATCTGAGTTGGTTTACAGAGCACTGGGTAGGGGGTTTTTGTGTGTTCTGGGGGTTTCGTTTTGTTTTGGTGAGGGTGGGGGTTTTGCAAGAATTAGTTCTTGACTTCCTAATAAGAGGCAGCACCTGATTTAGTGAATTATTTGAGTGATCTGTTTGAATGTCTTTCAGTTAACAGTTTGGATACATGTTGAATTAACAACTTGTGGTGGTGGTGATTGTTTTTCTCTCCTCCCTTTTAATAGGACAAAAGGACCAGCATACGGTCTGTCATCTTTCTGTGCAAACTCGAGGCGATTTGTCATTCTTCATAAATAAGCAAGTGAAGTGTGTGGTGGTTGGCTCCCTGGTGACCACACGCCGAGCATTCAAAGGTCTACTACTACTGAGCAGGAGTCCCCTGGCTAAACCCATTATAAATCCAACTTACAGTGACTTCTGTCCAAGAGATTTGCCTGTGGTTTCAAGTGCTGTAAGTCCTGCACTAGAAGTGATAGTTAAGGATAACAGAGTGGGCATTTGGATCTCATGAGTTTTGTGAAACTGGTTTTGCATGCTGTTTTTTTTTTTTTTTTAGATGACCAAGTGCAAACAGACAAGTTTCAAAAGCACTGAAGCACTGTGCTTTTCAGAATTAGTTGTGTGGGTGGATAGAAAGGAGTCTGAGTTTGCTCAGGTGTTTCTGCTGTATTGACTTAGATACTAGTAGAGCACTTTAAGCAGCTTTCAGTTTCTTTTCCTTACTGCAAAGGTGTCTGTTCAGAAAGTAAGACATAGAATGGAAATTGTAATGTAAAATGAAGGTATGTGGAGTAAACAAAACCTTCATTACAGCTTTCAAGTCAGGATTGGGTGTGCATCTAGAGCAAACCTGGAATTAAAAGCTTCCATGCCCTTCAAATTTTTAAGTCATAGCAAGAGGGGTGGGGGACATTCTCTGAAAATACCTAAAATGAACATGAAAGGCTTGATCAACGTTAAATTAAGTAATTATGTAAATTTTAATTATTTTTTCCCTGTCCCCTCAGGCACTGGATATGAAAGAATACAATGAAGATCAAAAGAGAGCCATTGAGACAGCTTATGCCATGGTAAAGCAACATCCAGGGCTTCCCAAGATCTGCCTCATCCATGGACCACCTGGAACAGGGAAATCAAAAACTATTGTGGGATTTCTGTCTCGTGTTTTGAGAGAAGTAAGTGAACAGGATGTGATAGTTGTGTGCTGCTGTTTGGTTTCCCATTGGAAGTCAGTGGTGTCTTAAACTAAATGGAAGTGTACTATCGGTAATTACTTGGAGTGTAATTCATTAAGCTACCTTAATTAAATCTGTCCTATATAGGGTGTAAAGGTGGAAATAATACCTTTTGGGCATCTTGGAAAATACTTTATTTTGGAGAACTTAAAAAGTAAAATCAAGAAAACATGCACAATCAGTAGTATAAACACTTTTTACATAAAAACCTTAGTATTTTGATGTATTAAAGAATGTTATTTGGCCTGTCCCATTCAGTGGTTTCATATTAGCATCCAGTAGATTCATCAATTACAACATTGTTGAAGGGAAATGATGCAAATAATATTAATACATTTGACTTGTTAGTCAATGTAAGGCAGACCTTAAGAGATATTCAGGTGCAGTAGTCCTCACACTCTGCATGCTGATTAAGATGAGTGTACAGTTTGGCTTTTAAATCACAAATGAAGACAATCTAAAGAGCTTGTTTTGGTTTACTGTTAATCTGCAGAACCCTAGGAATGAGAAAGCAACTCAAAATACAAATTCCAAGATCAAGCCAAACCGTTTTCTAGTTTGTGCACCATCAAATGCTGCTGTTGATGAACTCATGAAAAAGATCATCGTTGCATTTAAGGGAAAATGCCAAAACAGACAGGAGCCTTTGGGTATGGTTTATTCTAAAATTTTGTTTATATGTTAAATAGACAAAACCTTGAAGGAGAAACCAGAACAGTTGATTACATATAATACTTATATGCCACTCTAAGCTGCTTTTTTCTCTTGTAGAACATGATTGGTACATTCTCATACTGTTACTAATTTTAATGTGCTTTTCCAAAAGCTGTATTATGTTTTTTTTTAATAGATTGCACTTTGTCTTTATACAGACATTGACCCTTTCCTCATAATGTTTGTTTCAGTTCACCAGTTGTTAAGTACTCCTTACTTGGATTTGAACACAAGACTGTTACCTTGATTTTGAATAAAATTGAGCTTCAGTGACCATGCTAAACAGACTGATGAAAGTTGTGATGTGTCAGAGCCTGTCACTTTTTTCTCCTCCTAGTTTGTGACTAATACAGAGTAGATGAATTCTGAACAATTTTTCTGGGGGAGGGGGGGAATTTCTGCATTATAACCAAATGTTGATTCAGTATTGACTTGCCAGCTGTGTTACAGATGGTACGCAGTAATTTTCTAGCTTAGGAGTTTTGTAAGTTTAAGATAAGGACGCCAGAGAATAAGAGGTGGTTCTGTTAATTCAGAATAACATTCTGAAGCCACCACTAAAACATAGGCACTGTATATATATTTTTTTTAAGAGTTTGGAATTACTGATTTTTATTTTTTTTTTTGTAGCTGTGTTTAGATAAGTACAAGTAAATTGTTGCAAACTCCTGAAAAGCAGAAAAGGAAAAGCCTTGTTTGATATCCACAACATTTAATTTATTTTCTGTCATACCACAGTGCATAGATGATTGGAGCAACCTTAAAGTATTTTGACTCTGATTTTTTTAAACAGGAAATTGTGGCGATATCAAATTAGTGCGACTTGGTGCTGAAAAAACAATCAACAGTGAAGTCCGGGGATTTAGCCTGGATAAGCAAGTTGAACACAGAATGAGTAAGTAACATGCAAATCAGACTTTTCTTCAGTCTTCTTTAAGAGTTTTATGATATTTTACACTTGGGACTATGTGTCCTTTAAGAAGGAAGATGTGGTAAAAGATTTTTGTGCAACAGTGCTTCATAAGCATTGTTTTTCTCCATCTTGGTGAGAGAGTGTCAGCTTACGTAAGGCCTGAAATCTAGGCAAAACCAAAGAAATAAGCAAGATGACTTATTGTTTGGCTTTTTAAAAGAAATTTTAATAAATGCTTAAAAATAATTGCTTTAACGTGCAATGTAGTTATTGTAACATTTTTTTCTGTTCCTCCTGTATGTTTTCCTTTGTTTCATTATAGAACGAAAGCCAGCTGACTCTGACCAGGATATTCAGAAGAAAAAAGCAGCTTTAGATCAACAGCTGGACATGCTGTCTCGTCAGCGTGCTATGCACAGATGTGAGAAGAGGGAGGTAGTAAGATAATAGTATTTTTAATCCTGTTTTGTTTGCTTTTTAAAAAATTACTATTTGTAACTGAATCCAAAAAGTAAAGAACTCTTCCTTTAATCTTTTGAGCAGTTACTGTCTCTAATGGAAATGCTGGTTAGCTCTGTGGAAGGGAATGAGGAACTTTACTTATACTGGTATTTTCAACAGGTCATTCATGCCATTTCTTGCTCTAGTGTCCAAATAATCATTTGGTTCTATCACCATTGTAACCATATTTACAAAATTAAATTATTTAACTTGTGTACTTCAAAGCTTATCTGGAAGTAGTAAGATACCTTGCAATCTGAGATTTTTGCATATGTATTGTACTTGAAGTTTTCCTTTTTTTCCTCTAAAAATTTGGTATTTGTGCTCAAATGACAGATTTCTGATGGTAAACTGCTTTCCCAGTTGCACAAAAATTTAGTGTTGTATATGGAAAGTCTAAATATTTTGTAAGAAACTGATCAGCTTTTCAAGATGTTTGTTATTAAAAGACCAAACAAGTCAAAATGTTTAAGAAATTTAATTAGGGTATGGGAGGAAAAAAGATATATGAGAAACGTGTGTTAATTATTCCCGATATATGTGATTTCTCCCCCCCTCACCATCTAGAGTCAAATGTTAGATGATGAAATTGGCAGACTTTCGAAGGAGAGACAACAGCTTGCTTCTCAACTAAAGGAGGTAGGAATTTATCTTTAGTGCATCTCTTTAATAAGCCTCAGCTAATCTGTTTGTATACTTGGATCCTTTAATTGTGCTGGAGATCTGGTTTTCAGGTGGCTGGGATTATTTATAGAGTAGTAGGTAAATGGATAAAGATCATGAGCTGGGTTATGGACAGCCTGGTGTGAAAAAATTTTAAATGAAATGTGGCATATTTGGCAAAGAAGGTAATAGAAACATACGTGTCCTCATGTTCTGGGACATATAATCTTCAGCACTTTCATGCCCTTTGCAGTCCAACTGTAGTGGAGATCCTTTTAAATGTTTCTGAGTAAATCAATGGCTGGAAATTTTTTGTGTGTGGAAAGAAAAAGTTCTGAAAGTAGAAATAAACATTGATAGCAAACCTAGCGATTAAAGCTGAGTAGCACAAGCCATGGGATGAATGAATATTCATCTTTAATGAGAATATGCTGGCCCTCAGTGGTCATAGAGGCTTGGAGCTACAAATGTAATGGCAAACTAAACTTTGCTTATAGTTATTGTGTCTAAGTTGCATAGCTGTAGAGATAAAGGAATACTTCTTCCTGGTTTGACACATCAATGGCATTGATCTGTAATTTAAAGCGAGAGTAACAGTTCAGATAAGCCAACTTGTTAATTTCATTTGTAATAATGGACATAGCTTCATTGAGATGATGCATTATGCACGATCTGTTTGGCAGTTAAAATTGTCCAGGTGGTTAGAAATGGCTCTAAAGTGATTCAGGAAAGCTAAAAGAGGACATGGTGTCCTGTTGTACTTGAAGGTTCGGGGGCACTCTCAGAAAGTCCAGGCGGATATCATCTTGGAGTCCGACATCATCTGCTGCACACTGAGCACAAGTGGAGGAAGTCTGCTGGAATCTGTTTTTTGGAGGCAAGGACTTGATCCTTTCAGCTGTGTTATTGTGGATGAGGTCAGTAAAGCTGCTTAGAACGACAGCATCTTCCACCTCTAAAGGTCTGCCTTATTCTCTGCTTAAGCTACTTGTGATTATGTGGCTGCTGGTGGAATATATTGTGGATTGACTGCCCCGTCCCCACCTTTTAACAGCCAGTCCTGCCATGTAGAGCCATAAGAAGAATTAATAACTTTTAATTACTTCTTTTTTTCTTACTTAATTGGTGCTTTAATGGCAGACAGCTTTTACTTAAAAACTATGACTAAAGTGTCGTTCTTGCTGTACAGATTTCTAGATGGTTGGGTTATATTTGTATCTGTTTGGAGAGCTCTGCATATTTAATAAGAAAAGAAAAATCTGTTTGTTTGTCTCATGCTGTTTGTTTGTTTGTTGGTTTGGTTTGGTTTGTTTTAGAAGACTTAAAAAGCATTTCTGAGTTTTTCTAGCTTTGCTGAAGGAAATTTAATGTACTTCCCTCCACTCCTTTGCTTACAACTTCTACTTTTTGTCCTGTTTGCATGTACAAAAGGCAGGGCAGTCCTGTGAGGTTGAAACACTGATTCCACTGGTCCATCGCTGTAGTAAACTTGTCCTTGTTGGAGATCCCAGACAGCTCCCTCCTACTGTAAAATCAATAGTAAGTGATCAAACTATTTTTTCGGTGCTATATGGTGGATAGGAAATATGTAAAAGGAAAAAAGACACTTCAATGTCAAATCATAGATCATTATGTGTATCAGCTGGTAACTTTTGCCCTGCCAGGTTTAGTCTCTGTTGAGTGGAGACCGTATCAGTACTGCTTTCAAATATGTGACTAACGTTAATACAGATGTGTGGGTGCAGACTTTATAGACTTCCCTGATGTAGCTTGGAACTGATTTCATGCACCATTAAGAACAGCTATGGCAATACAAACTTCAATGCTACTCAGCACTTGGTTTGTGATGGACGCTGCATTGCTTGGACTGTTACTTCATCATGTGAGCTTCAGTCAGTGAGCATTCCTTGAAGAATGGAGGATGAAGACTACCTCTTAGATGGACTTCCTCACCCTATGACTGTGTTCTAAGGATGAACATATAGGAGCACTTGTATGTATCCAACAATAAGGAGAACTGTTCTAAATATCTGATAAAGAGGAAAAGCAGACTGGTTTCTCTGGAAGGGTAAATCATCTGGAGGCTGTGTGCTCATTTAATGAGATCTCACCTGGAAGATCTCGCTTTTCATTATTGTTGATGTTTTTAAAGTTTTACTATGCTGTGATTCATGAAAGAAAGTTTTCTTGCTAAAGACTACACTGTCAAAAATTCAGATTTTTGCAGGTAATCTCTACTGAAATAATATACAAATACAAAACTGAAGTGCAAGAAGTTGTAATTTTGTCAGTGATTTAGAAGTTTAAAAGAAAATACCAAATAGTTTTAAGTCCAAAAAGCAAATTCCCATCATTAATTTGGGACCTAATTCCCAAGTTTAATCTCATGTTTTCCCTCTGGCAGAAAGCTCAGGAATATGGCTATGATCAGTCCTTGATGGCACGCCTGCACAGACACCTGGTGGAGCAAGTGCAGAAGAATGTTTTACGGAGCCTGCCAGTTGTGCAGCTGACTGTGCAGTACAGGATGCACCCTGACATCTGCCTCTTCCCATCCAATTATGTTTATGGCAGGACTCTAAAGACTGACAAGTGAGTAGCGCTCTGCTCTCCTTTTTGAGCACAGGGTATTTTAAAGAAGCATTTTGATACCAGGATATGCTTTTGAGTCTAAAAATCGCTGAGGTTGTGGGGAGGGTGAGATACTTAGTGGGAGAAAACTTGCATTCCATCTCTTGCTAGTGTTGACTGTGATACGTACGTTAACTGGATCACTTAAAATTGAGCATGCTTACTGCTTAGAGTTCACTTTCAGGCCTCAGTATGTGCAGATACCAGTCAAAATTAAGGACTCTGGAAAAACATCTGAAAGTCACTTGTATTTGATAACCATGGTATAAATAAATGAAGTATCAGTTCCTAGATCTTCTGTATGGTTACCTGGTGATAAAAATGTTATTTACAGAGCAACAGAAGAGAACAGATGTTCTTCAGAGTGGCCATTCCAGCCCTACCTTATTTTTGATGTAGGAGATGGTCGTGAGGAGCGAGACAATGAGTAAGTTCTGCGTTCTACTGCACCAAACTTCAAATTTACTGAGAGTTAATTACCAGCAGAAGAGTTGTCTTTTCTCCTCTGTTGTTTCCAATATGCATTCAGTAGTCAGATCTGCATTTTCAATTTTATTTGCTATAATTTTACAAAAACCTTGTTTACTGAAAGTATGTTTGTTTATATATATAAATATATATATTCATCTGAAGCTGGTTTTGATCCTGGTTTGACTATCTGCTAGATGTTAATGAATGCCTACAGTCTCTGCTAATTCTAGTAGCAGTTTCTGAGTTGCTGGTTTATTTTTTTTGATCGGTGACTTTTTCTTTCACAGCTGCACACTGAGGTAATGCCAGAAGGTGGCAGGCACAGTCCTCTCTCTTGCCTATTCTGTAAGGAAAGCAAAGTTGTGTAGTTTTAAGGGAACTTAAGTGCAGGCTTTCACTGCTAACACTTCTCATTGTTAGCTAGCCCCTCCTCAGGGCTTGCTTGAAAAGTTCTTTGAGCCTCTATGTGAAGCAAGCTGCAAAAGTTCAAGACAGCAGCTTTGACTGGCAGTGCCCCCACAAACTGTGATGAAGCATTGAATTTTTAAAAGAGCTGTCAAATGTATTTCTGTAATGTTTCCATTCTGTCTTGTTTAGCTCTTTTAGTAATCCTCAGGAAGTGAAGCTGGTGATGGAATTAATTAGAACAATTAAAGAAAAAAGGAAGGATCTGGGCCTTCGTCGCATTGGAATAATTACCCCTTACAGCGCACAGAAAAAGAAAATCCAAGAACAACTGGACAGAGTGTTTAAGAATAACAGGTAAAGAAACCATGGGGTTTTAAATGGGACCTGGCTCTTGCATGTTAGTCCTTTGTTTATCCCCTTAGTCATGCCTTTAAAGGGGACATATGCAAGCCTTTTACTTAAGAAGCATGGCCTCTTAGTACTATTTCTTAGTTGTATACATGCTTTGATTATATTGGTGTTCTGGATTAAGCTGATTTAAAAGAAAACCTCAAATTCCAAGCTACGTGAACCTGAACAGTGTGTCAGCAGTGATGCTGACCTCAGAAAAGAAAATACAGCTTTGGGTTCATACATTGAAGCTTTTCTTACACTGAAGCAAAAATTTACCCTGGGTTATTTTGACAGCTGATGATTAAGGGTAATGTTTAGTCTCTTTGTATCAGTGCGTTGCTTAAAAATTTGACTAACGTAATTAAACAGCATGCTAATTCTTTGATCAACAGCCCTGGAGAAGTGGACACAGTGGATGCATTCCAGGGACGAGAGAAAGACTGCATCATAGTGACATGTGTCCGGGCGAACAGCACTAAAGGGTCAATTGGGTATGTTTTTCTTCAGTGATTTGCAAATCCCACTTCCAATGATACTCTATATACAGATATATAGAGCAATTATATTTTAATATGATCAGTAAGAAAGTCATTAAAGAACAAGTCACTACAGCCAGCAAATTAAGGGGTATCTTAATGCATGAATTAATGTTACTCATTTGAGATCTCTAAACAAAAGGGACATGGAAATTCTAAGTATTGTGTTCTGCGCTGCATGCTTATGACTTTGCATGGGGGCCTTAGCCTGTTGCTGTTTCGCTTTGGCAAGATTGGTCTTGGGAACTTGGCTCTTGGCATTAGTACTGCAGCAATTATTTTTCTCGTAGCTTTTGATATATACTGTAACTGTTTGAAGTTCCTGGTCTCTTAAAGTGAAATGTTTTCTGTGACTGTTACTATTCTAATAAGGCGGCATTCTGACTGTAAAAGTATTGTTACTAGTTATATGTGTCATTAGAATGTGATGTGGATGAGCTGGATATTTGAGTTGTAGATGAACGTGCTTAAGTTAGGAGATTTGCAGGAAGTCTCTATTCAAGATCACATATAAAATTATCAAATCTGGGTTTTTCCTGTCTGAAACAAAAGAAGCTAGATACTGGGTGTGCTGTTTACTCCCAGACTGCTACAGCAGTTGTCAGTTTGTTTCTGTAACTTACTGGTCATTTTAATTTAAAAAAATGTTAGTCGAAATGTGCTGCCTTACAGTTCATTGGCTTTTAAGTCAAACTGTGGGAAGTCTGTTTGCATAAACAAAAATCTTTGTTTCCACATACCAGGTTTCACTAAGCTACTTACATTTCTCTGATACTAATTTTCTAATTGCTAAATAGAGGACTTTGAATTGTGCAGATTCATGCGACTTTGGGAAGAAAAAGAATCCTGTAGTAAACAACAATGATGCGTTTTGGAGACTTTTAAAATCTGGTGAATTGAGTTTGGAAATAGAACTTTTTCCTGCAGTGCCAAAATTTTCTGGGGTGGCTCTGGGACTTTTTGCAGTCTTTACTTGTGAATTTGCTGAAGAGCAGATCTCAGTGCTGCGACTGCAGGACCGGGCATTGATATTGGACCTGTTCAAATGAAGTTGTACAAAGACCTGACCTTGTATTGCAAACTTGGTTAGTATAGAATAAGCTGAGCATTTTGGGAGCTTTTTCATTAGAGAAAAAGTAGTTGATACTAGTTTCACAGACATTTTTTGAATTTTGGTAAATAAGCCATAACGGAAATCAACCTTTAAGAATACACGATGCATTTGTTTGTTTAGGTATCAGTACCTGGGTTTGTGATCCCACAGAAACATCCTAGATGGTCTTACACTTGCACTAGGAAATTTTTCTTCTGCAAGGAATATACTTTTTGCTCTCGAAGCATGACAAAGCAAAAGTCTTCCTTCATGTGCTTCTAGTGCAGGTCACCTTTAAAATAAAATATTCATGTCCAGCATTCAGTATTTCAGTAGGAAATTTTCCCATTAATCATGCCAAATATTATTAATCTATTTCAGTTCAAGACAAAAAGAAGCTTAAAGTCTTGATAGGTGAAGTGAGGTTGATGTCCTCTGTACTTTGAGGAACATTTAAGGAAGCAGTGGTTGGCATTAAGAAGGGATTTGCTCTAAGAAAGGAAACATCAATGGCAAGAGCTGGAAAAAACTGGAATTCCCTGCAAGGCATCAGTGGTGAAAGAAAGAAAACACAATTCATGAAAGCCCTTCATGTAAGGCAGGGCTGCTACAGTGGGATCTGGGAATGGGCCATGAACTGCTGCTGCCTTTGTAACTGCTTCTGTTCTCTTCCTTTCACTGAAATTGAATATTATATAATTGAATATTACTGCTCAGTTATTGAATATTACTCGTTTTTCTCATAACACTTAAACCTTGTGGAAGATGTCATTTAGGAACTTAGTTTTGTCTTGTCACCTAGGTTTCTGGCAAGTCTTCAGCGTCTGAACGTTACAATTACTCGAGCCAGATTTAGCCTCTTCATCCTTGGAAGACTGAAAACACTCATGGTAGGTACAGTGTTAATCAAATGATCTGTGATCCACCCTTTTAGGTCACGTCAGGGTTGAGAAGGTGAAAACCATCCTCAGACTGCCCAGTCTATGAAAGGGGACCCTTTTCTAGTGCACTGTTAAGTTAATACAATCCAGGCCTCTGAAGGGTTCTCTTTGAAAGCTTCAGCTGTAACTGTCATAAAACTTGTTGTTTTGGGTTTTTTTTAAGAATCTGTTTTCCTTGCTTCAAAGGAGTAAAGTTAGAAATTACTCTCACAATATTTTTAGTAACCAAATTGTAACACAGTCCTTTACAGTTCAACTGTGGGGGTTGTGAAAAATGTTCTCTCTACTTGTAAGATACTTTGCTGCTTGATCTTTACTGTTCCTCCGGCCACTGAAGTTGTGACTGGATACTTGAGCAAGGAAAATGATTTTTTAAAACCAAGCGACCCCAGAACATCTCCTGATCTTCAGGTTTTTTTGACACTACTTTGTATAGTCATGTGGTTTCTGAGGATACTCTGCTTGTACTCTTTGAAACAGGTGTTTCTGAAACAGAACTAGATATTTGAGGGAGTATAAAGATCCACTGAGTGTGTAGGGAGTGCTCTTGAATAGACTTAATATTTCACAGTAGCTGGTTTTTATTCTTTCCCCAAGGGGGTGGGGCGTTGTTGGCTACACCATGAGAGGGCATTAAAGCCATGCTGTTCCATTCTCTGTGTGAGAACTCTTCTGGCCTTTGTAATTATAGAAATTGTCATTTTAAGTAGTAGCTCGCTGATGGCTGAAAGTACCTTCCCTGTGTTACAGCAGCCAGAGTGCCTACTGCTGTTTTGCAAGTGAAATGTAAGATTCTTCCATTCCAGAAGGAGCATAACAGTGGTTTCCATGACAGTTGTGTCAGGTACCTTGATTAAAGGGGTTGTGCATCCTCTGAAATCTCTGTCCACTTGTACTGATTTCTTTCTGATAACTGTTTTCTTTTTGGGGGGTTGTCTTTTCTTCTTATTTTAAAGGAAAATAAAGACTGGAATGAATTGATTCAGGATGCTCAGAAAAGAGGAGCCATTATCAAGACATCAGAAAACAGCTACAGGAAAGATGCTGCTAGGATTTTGAAGCTCAAGGCAACAGTACAGCCCCCAGCCAAAGCAGGGTCAAAGAAATCTCAGTTGCAGGTTTGCTCTTCCAGTAGCAAAAGCGGTGAGCTTGCTAATCCAAGGGAGGCCAGCAGTCTGCAGGAACCCACTGATGGCACTGGCCATGCAACACCCAAAGGAAGCAGAGGGCCCCAGCATCCACAGGGGGCTCAGGCTGTAGACTCCAAGAGGGGCAGTGCCTCAGCACCTGTGAAGGCTGCCCATGCAGCACCCCAAGGAAGCAGAGGGCCCCAGCAGCCACAGGGAGCTCAGGCTGCAGACTCCAGGAGAGACAGTGCCTCTGTGCCCGTGGAGGCTGCAGCGCTTCCTGCTCATCCAGAGAAACCACGGGATCCGAGGCTGGCAAGTATGGCTAGTAGAACTGAAACAAAAGGGAAGAAGCAGGCCTCAAAAGACAGTAATTGCTCAGGATCAACATCACAGCAAGGCCTTGATGCTGCACGGGATCAGATGTCCAGAACAGAAGCTTCTAAGAAGCCCCAGCAAATGATGGAACAACGCGACATGCCTTCCGTGTCGCCTTATGCAGCTCGCCGCGAGGGTGACCCGAGAGCTCCTGTACTGAAAAGCAGTTCAAAAGCCCACAGTGAAGGAGGTCGAAGTACTGGCAGTGAGTGGAACAAAGACTGTCGTGATTTAACCAGGAGATCATCAGAGGCATCACTAGAGAATGCAGAATCAAACAATGTCAAGCGAAGAAAGACCTCTCGCTGGCTTTAGTATTGCCTCATTACTGAAAATCTGTTCCCAGATTTCTGTCAAGCAAGAACTGTATTTTAAATTTAGTACACCTGGAACTCCCTTATATTGATACCACTACTATCAGTAGATCCATCTTTTTCCTATCCTGTCTCTTACTGTGAAGGAGACTTTATACCTGATGGTTGATAGCATTGAGCTTTTGAAAAGAAAAGTTGGGCAGCTGCATTGCTTGGAAGAGCAGTGCATTTTGTCCTCTAGGAAGTTAAAGTTGTAAATGTTGAATGGTGTATATTTGTACAGTCTACAAAATTATTTTAAGATTTAATTTGGCATATATATAGCTGCTTGTTTCCTTGTGCAAATGCTAATTTCTTAGTGATGTAATTTTTTACAAAGAACCAGAGGAAAAATAACACAACAGGAAAACCTCCAAAAATCAAAAAACAGCCATAATTTTTCCCCTTTGCACTAGTAATTCTAATTTATTTGATAACAAAGAGTGAATGTTGAAAATGTGGTAGCAGTAATTCTTCCTTGTGCTCCACTAGTGCCTCAGGAAAGACTGAAGACAGATGTACATTGTTTGAATGGAAAGAATTCTACTTATTTTGTATATTTTATGGCCTGTTTTTATAGGAACAGAAGAGCTTTCATTTATACAAATGTGCCTTGAGTTTTGCTCTTGCTGCTGCTTCATCAGTTGGAATAATTTTCTTGTTACAGTGGCAACACAAACTGCAGACTAAAGCCCACAAGATGTGTTTGGTCCCAGTGAAGCCATGTGCTGAACAATCAGCAGCACTGTGGAGTTTTAGGCAAAGATCTAGTTAACACTTACTGGTAATGACACTTGAGTTTCTTTGAGCTTTTGGACATCTACAGAGAGAAAAAGGGCAAGCAGTTCATTCTAGGTGTTATTACCAGATTCATTCTACTGTGTCAATGAAGAATATATAACCAGTAAAATGGGGGGGGGAAGAAATGAACTATTTTTAAGAAAGCCTTCCTCTCATCATAAGGTTTCACAATAAAAGTGGAATTATTTCTACTAAGAATGCCTTTGGGTCACTGGGAAGCATTGCTTGCTTTTTCTGGAGTACGTGTGGGTCTCAGGAAGGTGAAGAGCAACGCTTCATGTGCACTGAGTTTTGCATGGAGATCATCTGGCATGCCTCTGCCTGGGAGTGCAGCACCTGGCTGTTAATACCAGTTGGGTGTCTATCAGGTTGCTATCTCCATCTGTCTGTGTTAAAACACAGCCTGCTATAACTGACTTACGTTTAACCAATACAAGGGCAGTGGCTTTCCCAAAGCCAATGGGCTTCCAGACTTCTCTGGTCAGAATTAGCTGTGATCTTTTAGTTATGTTTCTGTCCTGACGCATTCATTGCAATGCTTGGTATTAGCTTTGGCCTTTTAACCCACTACCAGAGGTACATGCGATCCAGCTCAGTTAAATATGGGTGCCTTACCATCCAGAATGTCAGGTAGTGGTTCAAACTGGAATTGCTTGTGAAACTTCCATCCTTAATGCCTCCAAGCCCAGAACAAACGTGCTGTACTGGTACCAGTTGCATTGGAGGTGTGCTGGGAGGTTTTAGTTGCTGTCTGTGACTGTCCAGCTCATTGTGCTGCACAAAGCAGGGCGTTTTTAGATAACAGGAGAACCTTTTGAGATGCCTGTGATGTGAAATCAGGGGATGTGGAGTGTTTGGTTATTCATTATGTTGCAATCTTAATCGCTTCAGTGAACCCTGACCACCTCTTGTCAGCAATATCTACTCTTTAAAACGGCTCTGACTCTTCCTTGATGTTGTGTACCTCATGTGAGAAGGAAGGCTGCTTGAATGGGTCTGTCACAAATGGGACATTTCAGACACTCCCACGTCACGGAATCTGTGTCCTGTGTGTTATCTACCTTTATGTTAATAGGAATATTTAAAAATCCTGTCATCTTTCAAAACTCTTGGCTCTTCTTGGCAGGGCTGTGCTGACCTGCCTCCTGTTTCTACTTAGCACATTCAAAAGGCTGCTATTCTGCAAATGGCTGTAGGATCCTATAACTGTGGAAGCCATTTAGATTGTCTTTATGTAAATAAAGTGAAGCTGGCAACAGTGTAAATGAGGAAATGCTTTCCTGGCCATTAAATACAATTTTGTGAAAACAATGTTTCTGTGAAACTTTTCTTCTAGTTTTCTTTCTCCTTAATCTGCATCTCGGAGCGTGTGCAGAGAGCTATACTTACCATGTGCTGGAAGGAATTTTACTTTAACATTTCATTTTTGTTGTATTTGTACACAGCACATAGGTCATGTACTCTAGAACACAGGTATTCCTCCATAAAACAGCTTTGAGGACAGACTTTTTTGTTTATTTAGTACTAGATTTATCTGTCTTGTCAATCTTTCAGCAGTAGCTTATTGCTGCTCTATCAGTCTGTGTCATTAATGGTGTATTGTTTAATAAAAAATTGGGTTGTTGCACTCGGAACACTTCCCTCTTCACACATCACTCCGAGTAGGTTTGTAGTTGTAATTAACTTCTTTCCCCTCTCTTTTATACCCATAACGCAGAAACCCAAGCAAACTCCCCTCCAAAGCACAGTTCTCACAAATAAAATGGGCATTGGGGAACAAACAGATCAGGTACAACTTCCATAACTTCTGCTCTTTCCATTGTGTGTTATAAAATACCGAGTAGTGATGGACAGCAGTGAGTGTGGCCTTGCTTTATTCATTTAATGCCATCTCCGAGCCAGTGACAGTTGGAGGAGGTTGCTCAGTGCTTGTTCTCTTCTGATGAGCGTTGAAGTTGGAGAAAAGTCAGTTAAGAAATATTCAACACAACTTCATGTAAAACAATTTAATTGGGGTTGTGCCAAAAAGCTTTGGAAGAAGTAATCAGATTTTTATACCGAGGCTTCCATGCTTCTTCCAAGCTTGGCAGCTTAATTCTCAGTGCAAAGCCAGTTCCCTCTGTGGTGCTCCCAGTTTCTGATATCAGTAAAAAGGGAAAGTCTCGTAGGTGGTGGACTATATTTTGTTTAAAGTTTGTTGTGGGTTTTTGATTGATTGTTTTGTTTTTTTTTTTAAATTGTTTTTACACAAAAAAGGCTTTCCAGTAAAGTTGGAGTATAATTCTGGTTATTTCTTTTTTCCTTTGAGGCTTACTGTGATTGCTTACCGCATCATTGTGCCCAGCTATGGTGATGTGAGGACACACCAGAGCCATGTGTATAATGATGGTATCCAAACAGGTACTTGCCTAATAAGTTTTTCTCACCTGCATTTCACTGTACATGCACTATGCTAGAGAGTGCTGGCTTCCCTGAAGCTTACTGAGGTGTGGGGAGATGCTTTTTGGGGTTTACTTTTGGGTGCAGAAGGGAGAGATCAGAGTAGCCGAGAGCTGGAGCTGAGCTGCTCATTCACAGCCCAGATGCTGTAGCAACACCAAGGTTAAGCAGAATCACAGTCCTAAAAATGCAAGCCGTTCTCTTTAGCCTGCATGAATAAATGATGGATGAAATGACTGCTGTATTGTAAATGGAATTTATAATGTTAATGATATAATACAGTCTCTTGCCACAATGGGTCCATTCCCAAGTCATATATAAAGTCTCCTTTTTTGTCTTTTTAAGATGCTTGGAAAGGAGCCCAAAGCCTTATTCTTTAGTGCAAATAAATGTAAGCTAAGCAGCCTTGTGCATTGAATACCACTGACACCCCAGACCTTCCAGCTGTATGTACCTGTCTGCTAAGGCCTCCACTGTTTGCCACCAACTCCCAGGCAAGTAGTGATAGATATGAAAATGAAAGTGGTTTGAGTGCACAATATGTTTGGTATTGTGAAAATGTAGAAAACCTCGTTTTATAGCCTGACAGGCTATACTGGTGCGGCTGTCCGAGTTTGGCAACAATTTGATTGTTGTATCAAGCAAGAACTCCCTTTTCTGCAAAGAAATCCCATTGGTTTCCCCTCTATTTTAGTCCCCGAAATAGCACAGAGTGGGGTCAGGGTAAAGCTTTTGGAGCCCAGTGTTGCTGGGCCAGGAGGGGAGGTAGTTATGTGGTAAAAATGGGTGGTTTTAGGCTTTCCTTGCATGTCTCGCCCTGCAGTGAAACTTGTTACGACACCAGAAGAGTCAAAATGATAAAGCATCCTTTAGGACAGTCTGAAGCTCTTCTCTGCATCTCAACTCCACGTGCAGTTCTTAGCCAGTTTCTGTGATAGCGGTCAAACTCTCAACTCCCTGCCGGAAGGGCTGAGACGATACAAAGCTCTTCAAAACCCAGCTCCACTCTTATTTCTGAGCAAGAACATTCAGTTCCTCCTTTGTACTTTGTTTTATTTACATGTGAGACTTTTCATGAAAGCCAATTACAGAACAGAATTGGTTGGCGAGACCATTAATTTTATTACCGCTAAAGTGTTGGCTTTCTCGCTACTTCAGCCTCCACCAGAGTCCTTACAAATCCCTCTCATAGATAAGATGTCTGCTTCCTCACTCTCTAAACCCAAATAACATACCTGGTAAGTGTCAAGGGAATTTTTTTCCCTCCTCCTTCCGTCTCCAGCTCCCAGCGACTGTGGACTTAACATTTTATCTGCTGAGTCAGCAAATATGCATCAGGCCAGGCTGCTGTTGACTTCTCTGCAGCTGGGGCTGTGGACCTGGCCTGGCCACAGCAGTCTGTCACATCGGGAAGATTTTTGTTGCTGTGGGGCTTTTGGTTATTTAGATTTGTCAGTACCCTAAATAGTTAAAATCAGAGCAGAATTGGAGGTAAACAAGAAAAATCAAAAGCTCTGCTTGTACTGTTTGAAGAGGTCACTTTTTTGCAGACAGAAGTGTAATCTAAAAACTTTCTCAAATGAATCCAATGCCGGCGACAGGATACACATGAAAACCTCTTGAAAGAGCGCAAGTGGCTTTTCTCGGAAAGAGAAGTACCTTTTGGTTAACCTTTCCACAAGCAAAGTATCAAGCTCATTGGACAATTTCTCCCATTTGGAA